AAGCAATAACTCCCTTAATGATAAGGCAGCTTGTGTTAGTATCTCACTTGGCAATGATAACCATATGATTAATCATAACGTTGATGTGCTCAGACAAAAAGAATTGACAAGTAGGAATGAGTTTATAAACAAGAATCCGGAGATTAATCTCCCAGTAGATTTGGATATTGATTTGAATATTAATGAGTTTCCTAGTCTTAACTCTAGTGCTTTGAATACTTCAAGATCTCCTGTAAAAGAAAATAATAAGGGGGGAGATAGTTCTTGGGTTAAAGTTGTTGGTATGGGTCTTGAGACCTCTAGTAACAAAAATAGTAATGATGATAGGAGCAGTATGGAACATTAGAGGTCTCAACAAAAGAGGCAAATTACAATGTATAACCGATTTTGTTTCTGAGAACAAGTTAGATTTTAGCTTCCAAGAAACTAAGAAAGAAACTTTTGAGGATTCCTTTCTGAATTATGTGAATAGAGACTTTATTTGGAACTTCTTGCCTGCGCAAGGAACAGCCAGGGGGATTTTAGTGGGTTTGAACAGTAATAAGTTCGAGGTTTTAGCCTGGCAACAAACTAGATATTTTGTTTCAGTTATGATTAAGAACTGTTCAGAAAAATTCGTCTGGAGATTTATTAGCGTCTATGGCTCAGCTTATAAGGAGGGTAAGGCAGATTTTATTCAAGAGCTAAGCTCTTTACTAGAAAACTGGGATGGCCCCACTCTTGTTGGGGGTGATTTTAATTTGGTTTCTAATTAAAAAGACAAAAGTAATGAAATCATAAACCAGAAATGGGTGGATCTGTTTAACGAATGGATTCATGGTTTTGGTTTGATGGAATTGAAAAACTCTTCTAGATCATATACTTGGACAAATAATCAAGAGCAACCAATTATGGCTGCTATTGATAAGTTCTTTTGTAACATAGCTTTTGATCAGAAATATCCTCTTTCTAGTGTTATAGCAAAGGCTAGGGTAGGAAGTGATCATGTACCTTTGATTTTGAATTGTGGTATTCATGAACAGAAAAAACCAAAGTTGTTCAGGTTTGAAAAATGGTGGCTTGAGCAACCTGATTTTTAAGAGTTAGTGGTGAAAACCTGGAACACTGACTGTGCTTTTACAGACCCAATGGATATATGGCAGTTTAAGATTAGGTTATTAAGGAAAAAAGTTAAAGGGTGGTCTATCAATACAGATGCAGCTATAAAGAAACAAAAAAGAGAGCTCCTTAAGGAGTTTGAAAAACTAGACATGAAATATGAGGCTGGTCTCCTGCTGAAAGGGGATAAGGATATGGACCTGATTGTTCAGGACCTGGAGAACATTTGGAATTTAGAAGAGATAAAGGCAAGACAAAGATCTCGAGATAGGAATGTTAAGGAAGGTGATAGGAATACTTCCTACTTCCATGCTCTAGCAAATCAGAGGACTAGGAAGAAAAGAATCTCGATGTTAGAGAGTGAAGAGGGAGTTTTAGAAGATACGAAAGATATGTTAGAACATGCAGTTCTTTTTTACAAAAATCTGTTTGGTTTTGAAGAGAGCTTAGGTGTGAAGTTGGGGGAGGACTTTTGGTATGAAGGTGATAAAGTAACCAGTCAGTAGAACGAGCTTTTAGAAGCTCCCTTCTCCGAGGAAGAAATTAGGTTAGCTGTGTTTGAATCTTGATGGCTTCTCTTTTATGTTTTACCAAGTCTTTTGGGAGACTATCAAGACAGATTTCATGAGTTTGGTTAGAGAGTTTGAATCTGGGAACCTAAACTTGGGTAAGTTAAACTATGCCATGATTACTTTGATTCCCAAAGAACCTGAGGCTAAAGTTCTTAAGAAATTTAGGCCTATTAGTCTTCTGAATTGCAGTTTTAATTTTTTTTCAAAAGCTTTGAATAACAGACTCATCGAGGTGGATGATAGGCTGATATCACCCAATCAGTCAGCTTTTATTAAAGGGAGGTTTATCCTCGAGAGTGTAGTGGCAGCCCATGAAGTGATACATGATATTCATAAGAATAAGCAAAGTGGTGTAATTCTTAAACTAGATTATGAAAAGGCATACGATAGGGTGAGTTGGGTCTTTTTGGAGGATATGCTTGTGTCTAGGGGGTTTGGGCCTACCTGGAGAAGATGGATTAGAACAGCGACACAAGGTGGATCTATTTGTGTGAGAATTAATGACGAGAACAGCTCATATTTTAAACCAGGTAAGGGGTTAAGGCAAGGAGATCCTTTGTCCCCCCTTTTATTCAATCTAGTGGCTGACATTTTTACTAGGATGCTGATTAAAGCAGCTAGGAATAATCTAGTTTCTGGTTTGATGCCTCAAGTGATTGAGGGAGGTATTGTTAGCTTACAATATGCAGATGATACACTACTCTTCCTAGAAGATAACATTGAGAAAGCTAACAATCTGAAATGGCTTCTTCTTTGCTATGAACAAATGACTGGGATGAAAATAAACTATGATAAGAGTGATCTTCTGACCATTGGTGTTGATGAAGAAAGGGTCAATGATTTTGCTAAAATCTTTTGTTGTAAAACAGGAGAATTTCCACTTAAGTACTTAGGTGTGCCTTTGCATTACACAAAGCTTAGAAGAGAAGATCTGCAACCTATTGTCTATAAAATTATGAAAAGAATAGCTGGGTGGAAAGAGAGATTATTATCCTATGCTGGGCGCCTCACTTTGTTGAAGGCTTGTCTGGCAAGGATTCCAATTTACTTGATGTCAATTATTAAATTTCCTAGATGGGCGATTGATGTAATAAATTCTCATATGGCTCGGTTCCTATGGAATAACAGTGAGGAGAAGCACAGATATCACCTCGCTCATTGGCAGTTAGTTGCCCAGAAAAAAGAATTAGGTGGTTTAGTCATTCCGGATCTCAGGAATTTAAATCTTCTCTTTTGAGCTCATGGATTTTTAGATACAATTTGCATAATCATGCCATTTGGGCTAAGATCTTGGATCACAAGTATAGAACTCATAACCCAAATATATGTTGCTGTACAGATAATCAAGCATCTCCCTTTTGGAAGGGTGTTGTTTGGGCTCTACAGGCTGCTCATTTGGGCATTAGGTGGCAGGTTGGGAATGGCAAAAAAATCAAATTTTGGGAGGACCATTGGTTGGGCAATTCTAGCTTGGCCATACAATTTTGGCCCCTGTATGTGATAAATGAGCAACAGGGTAGAACTATTGATCAGGTTTGGGATAGGGATACTCTGAAACTCTCCTTTAGGAGATCTGTTTCCGAAAGATTGATGGAAATGTGGTTTGAACTCTTAGGAATTGTAGAAGAAGTCAATTTAGTAGAGGAAGAGGATCAAATTATCTGGAGCTTTAGCTCTAACGGTCAATTCTCGGTTCAGTCCTTATATGCTGTTATTAACCATCGGGGTGTTAAACCGGTGTATGTTCAGTCTGTGTGGAATTTGAAAATACCTCCAAGAATCCAAATCTTTTTATGGTTGCTTTCAAAAAATAAGGTCTTAACAAGAACAAATCTAGCTAAAAGGAAAAAACTGGATGACTTGTCATGTTTATTCTGTTCTGAAACAGAATCAGTTCATCACTTATTCTTTGATTGCTGTGTTGCCAAATGCATGTGGTCAGTTTTAGCTGACATTTTGAATTTATCAGGGCTTTGGAACTATGAATATATTGCTTCCTTAAGGATAGCAAACAAAAAGTTCATGTTGGCTAATGTTGTGAATGCTGCTGCTCTTTGGTGCTTGTGGAACATGCGTAATCAAATCTGCTTTCAGGGGGATGTCTGGATGGGGATGAAGAAGGTGCTGACAGGGATTGCAAGAACATTACGACGCTGGAGACCAATGTACAAGGCGGTGATGGAGGAAGAGCTGATGGTGATAATCCAAAAGATCGAACTGGAGGCAAGCAGACCACCTGGAATCACCTGGAGTCCGTTACATTCTCAAGCATCGGTATTGCTGCCTTCGGCGACGGGTTGCATTGGTGTGAATCAGCAGAGTTCTGAGCTTGTAATGAGCGTTAATACTGCTGAGATTTACGACCTTTAGGCCTTCTGTGGGCGGGCGCGCCGATACGCTTTCTGAACTAAACTGTATGCTTGACGCTTTATGATCAATAAAGCGGGGGAGACCTCTGTTTCTAAAAAAAAAGTCATCTCCATCTAAAGAACAGTACTTCTCATCAACAACCAAAGAAAACTAAATAATTTTGATGTGGACCTGGCATCCGAAAAAGTTTCACTCTCTCTGTTTTTTTAGTCAAAGTTGAAGAGAATATTCATGAAAACTATGATGATTCTACAAAATTCTGGCCTCCTGAACTAGCGCTGTAATTCAAATATAAAGCCTCCAGGCTCACACTGCTATAAGATAGCAGCTACAGTCTGACGAGGCAAACTGATGTGCGGTGTCCTCCATGGCAGCAGCCTACAAAGGTGCATACTGAAAACTGTAACTTCACTTTACTTAAGATCTCACTTCAAGCTGGTAGTTGAACAGAGCAGCTGCTGGGAATTCTAACGGTGTGCTGTTGTGACAGACTTGCAACAGAAAGATACTAATAGGAATCTTGTTGGAGATGATCAGGAGCTGTAAGCGCAGAAAAGAGAACTACAATGGAGTTTCATATATACAGGAAGAAACTACAACGAACAACAGCTTAACTTTGCAGCTTTGGCAGGATCATCAAAAGTAATAGCTTACATACAGGGAATGTTACAGCCTAAGTGCCATCAGGAGATGAATGTACAGATGATCCTCCTAAGTATACCCACCAACACACACACACACACACACACAAACATGAAGAAGAGTTTCTTTTGAGGATAGCGAGTGCCAGAATCCATAGGCAAGGGACATGCCATTCAGGAATATCTGGTTTTACAATACAAGCTCAGAAAAGATTTGAGAATTTATAGATAAACTTATCTTTGTGTATATGCATGCAAAAAATACACGGACATAGAATAGGAGGATTTGAACTTTCCATCTATGGAGAATTGGAGACTCTCAAGTCCGGACAGAACTATAGAGGCGAGGATAAACTTGTTTGGTCCTGTGAACAACGAGGACGCTCAAGCCAGCTGCAACAAGACAGAACACCGACATAATCAGGGAGCTGAAAAAGAAGCAAGCAGGCCCTTCACACTTCAGTGGTCCATCTGCAAGAAAGCCCGTGTTGTGAAGCAATTGTGGGGACAGAAATGCTGACATCTGATGTTGGTGAGCTTGTTTCTCAGCTTCATGTTCATAGAGGTTACTGACAATTAGCTCTGAGAAGATGAACGATCCTGCGGGGTTTGCTAGTATGAGAAAATTGTACATCGCACCAAAGTGTTTTACACCAAAAAGCTCAGAGACAGCAGCTGGCACAATAGCCCAGTGAGCTCCATATCCGAGTCCAACCAGCAAGCTCGCAATGTACATAGTTCCAGGCCAAGCCATAGCAAATAGTACATGCCCAACAGCCATCACGATCTGACAAATTGTCAATGCTATGTGCCTTGGGTATTTATGCTCCCTGATTAAAATAATAGCCAGTTAGAATGAGAACAAATATAAAAATAAGTTCCACAACTTGAATGTGCATAGGAACTAAGTCTAAGAAAACACATAAGATAATAGGTATGCTCAAAATATAACAAGAATATCTCTAACTATCTAAAAGGTCTACTGTTTTTTTTTTTTGATAATTCGACGCGGGGGGTGGGGGGTGGGTGGGGGGGAGAGTCCCCCACCTGGGTGATATATTGGTGATTGGCTCTTAAACAGCCATGAGGGTTACAAAGATTTTGTTTTCAAATTCTCGCTTTTTAGCGTTATATTGCGTTAGCTAAGATTGAGAATCAGATTGTGGCAAGCTCTACTATTCTGGAGCATGTTAGAAAGCAAACTCCAGAAGTTAACATACAAGTGTATCCTAGATGAATGTCTGAATGGGAGTTAAAAGTCCACCTAAACTAAAAACAAGATGGAACAAAGAGGATTCAATTTGGTAGGGAAAGTTCTGATTGTCAAAGCGGACAATACCAATTGTTTCTTCCAAAAAGACAACAACAGTATCAACCTTTTTCCTGAGACTAAAGTTGAATGGTGCTCAGCGTCGATACCTGACAATGATCTCAGAGAAGTAGCCACCTCCAACACGACCAAGGAAATTCCATATGCTCATCAGTGACACAAAGATATGTGCGTTTTTGTAACCAGTAGCCTGGCTCATCTGACCCAGGTTGTCCATCACTGTCAGCCCTGATCCAGACCCAAGCAAAAGTGATAGCCAAATAAGCCAAAAATCAGCCTTCACAAATGCTTGCATCAGGGTGAAGTTGTCCCCTCGGTGTGGCCTTCTTTTGATTCTAACCCCACCCCTTGCTGCTGCTACCACTAGCTTGGCCTGCAATTCTGCAATCCTCTTCCTCCTTTCAGATGGTGGTAATGAATCAGTGTCCTTAGGCTTCTCCTCTTCTACCTCACTTAAAATGACCTCTGGTTGATCCTCCTTTTGTTGTGAAGTGCTCGCCTCTCCTGTCAATGGTTCAGACAGGAGAGCATCTTCCATCAGATGTTGAGCTTCTTCCGGTGTTAACGACAGGATCACAGGGATTGCGATTGGCGAAATAAGGAGGACGAACAGAATCACAGTGAGAAAAACAACCACATCATAGCTCGGTTGCAGGAAATCTTGGACAAGCATGGCACCAACAAGGTATGAGGCGATAAGCAAGCATACAGTGTAGATGAACATGAAGCTGTTCTTGTCAGATGGCCGTACCTGCCTGTGACCCCCAACAGGCCTAATAACAAACATCAAGCCAATGGCAACCAGCGATGGACCAACAGCAACCATGAAGATAAGCGCAGCATGGTCTGGTGTGTTCAATACTGCATAAACTTGTGTCAGAATGGCGCTTGTTAGGCCCATAAATCCCTTGAGGATGCCCACTGTTGGGCCCCTGCTCTTGGGGAAATTCTGGATGCTTGTAACGAGTGAAGCCGTGATCATATACGTCTGGCCATTTGTTCCAATAAAGATAACAACACACATCTGGATAGGAAAACGATGAAATATGATACGTTAGGTTGAGAAAACAAACCAAATAACCACTAAAAATTTCCATACTTTTGCTCCATTCATTTGAATACGAGGGATCAGTAAAAAGGATATCAAATTTCTTCATATGAGTTGGAGTCGTGGTCTTATGGCTGGTAGTGGGATGTATATGTCAAATTTTAACCTGAGGAGTCCAAGCCATTGTACAGCATATGTGTTCATTCTACTGTCTGAAGATCTTATTTTCCAAATGGGCTCCATGGCGACGTTATTATTTATCTAAAATCAAACCCAAACGATGTTACCAGGTAATTTCCTCCCTAATTTTGTGCTTGTGCAAACATCAACACATATGTAATGCAATTATCCAAAAGTAGGTAGATTGATGATCTTGAAATAAGAGGAACGCAAGAAAGAAAAACAATAATGCAAGGCAAAGCAGAAACGAATGCACTGCACATCATTTTCAGTTGAGTTGGAAACATGCAAATGATGATGATAAGCAGATTTTGAGGTGTCCGTTTATGATGTGGAGTGAAACATGTTGAATCACTTGTTCTCATCAGAATGGAAATGGAATGACTATGAAACTTGCAGAGTTTACTCCCCTCCGGCATAATGTGGCGCAGTCACCAACGGACACAAAAATGGAGCTGTGCCAGGAAGTAAAATCGAACCCATCTTCTGTATAGGAGGAGAATGAATGCCAGGGTGATGCGGCGGAGGCGGCGCCCGCTGCCCGCAAACTGAGGCACGGCCGAATCGGAGGGAGTCCCCCCTCCTGGCTGAATCGGACGGCCGCGCTCGTCACCCGGCAGCGGCGGCGGCATTGACGAGTTGAGGCGGAAGCAGCGCGGGAGAGCGAGGCGCGCGGGTGGAGGTGACAGGTGAGACTGCGAGATGGAGTGGACAGTGGAGCAGGGTCGCAGCAGAGGCCGCTGCCATGGAGGCTTCTTCAAGTCCTCTCGACCTCTCGTTGAATGAATGGGATGCTTTCAAGTCACTGGCATGTGGGGCAGGGTAACCAGGTCCTACGTGGACCAGGTATATCCACCAAAAGTTTACTCTTTTCTTTTTCTCTCGATCAACCTTTTCCTGCGGCGGTAATAATACTAGTAAGTTGGTACCTCAGGCTCAGCACACCTACCAGCCAGAGGGGCAGCGCCGGCGCCTTCCCGGCGACGACGAGCCAGAGCCATCCGTAGCCGAGGAAGTTCTGCGCGGCGCCGATGGTGAGCAGCGCCCACGGCGGCCACGTCGCCGAGAGCGCGCCGGCGAGGAGGCCGAGGCAGCCCCCGAGGTTCTTGGCGACGCCCAGCGCCGCCACCTGCCGCTGGTCGTAGCCCAGCCTGGCCTTGACCACCGGCGAGATGGCGCCGAAGATGTACGTGGTCCCGGCCATGGACTGCATCCACATGGCGCCCACGAACACCAGCCATCGGTTCGTCCAGAACGCCCTCACCCTCTCCCCAAGCTTCCCCATGGCCATGGGTCGATCCGATTACAGGAGAATTTCTTGCTCACGAATGCAGATTTGGAGACAAGACAAGCCACGGGCCAGAGAGTAACGAGAAGGCTTCCAATCGCAAGCAAAGAAGCGACGCAAACGGAGCCTTTGGTATGCTAGACAAACAGGGGAACAAAGAATGGACCCATGAGGCAGGCAGACTGGGGGTGTGCTTCACATACGCCCCACGTTCCGTTGACGCGTCATTCATAAATTGCGAAGAATGATGCCACGCTTGACACACCTAAGGTGGTGTTTGGAACTTTAGATAGCAACTGGACAGGGAAAAGGAATTGACCTGGGTTAAACTGAGGCAGGATACGGAATGGGTTATAAGTACCACTTTATAGCCAAGAGCCAAGGCATAACGGTTGGTCTTACTTTTTCCTTGTGAGTTTACGAAGATGCGCTAACATTATCCTTTTACACGTGAAACAAATTTTTGCCCAAATTTCTTTTGTTTCCTTATATTGTTGCATTTTTGTAATAATATAATCCAACTATCACGTTTTCCCCATTAAGTTATTTATAAGACGCACCAATTTGGTAGCTAACTTCTCTATCAGGTTCCTCCATCCCAAATTATAAGGAGCTTTTTACCTCTATGGTCCTAGAAAAAATGTCTCTTCCTTGTAAGATCCGTTTTTTTTTCTCCGAACTTCCTTGTATGGCCTCATAACGAATTTATCTTCATTATATGGCCTTCCGTCGTATCTGTTAGGGTGTACCGTTAGTTTCCCCACTGGATGACATGCGAAATGATTGAAATGCCCTTCTGCTTTCTTCCTTCATATCCTCTGGTTCCTTTCCGCCGCACCCGACCAGGATTGACCGGGTTCGAAAAAAAACGATGCCGCCGCGGACATAGGGGAGATGGACGCCGCCGCCGCCGCCGGCCCTTCTGCTACCGGATTCGCCAGATCCAGGGCCGGTCGGCCTCTCTCCCATCGCCAACCGGCGAGCTCCGCGTGGAGGAGGCGCCGCTGCCCGACTGGTAGTGCGAGCGCGACCAGCCCGGTGCCCCATCAGGCGACCCCTCCCGCGTCCTGTGCGGAGCGGCCGACCCCTCCAGCGGCAAGCCCGGCGAGCCACCAGGCAGCCCAGTCCGCAGCGAGCGGCCCCTCCCACACCCAGCAGATGTGTTTGTGAACTATGACTGATCTTGAGGGACCAAATCTTTTTAAACGCACGGTAATCATATGTTGTTTTTCAAATATCCACAAAGCATAGCTTCTGAATTTCTTAGTCTTTTTTCTTTGGCTTGTAACACATCTGATTGATAATATGTTTCCTACCAGGTTAGTGCACTCTCATGAATAGCACAAGGATCTCAAATTGCTGATACTAACTCCATTGCATCATCCCAAACAGTTTCTGTAAAAGACTCGTCTCTCCAGGTTACTATGATTCAGGTTACTCGAGCCTCCTTTATAATTTCTTATTTATTGTTAGTTTGACATGAAGATTTTTATTGTAGTGCTTGGTGAGTATTTTGAAGTCATTGGCTGATTGAGAGCAACTTCGAAGAGATTTCTCAAAGTAAGGGAGTATTGTTGAATCTCGTGAAGAGGATGCTTCAAGGAGCTTGGCAACTTTAAATCCTTCAATTTCCACAACTGTAATGCTGGGATCAAATCAAATATTGAGGGATTCTGTAGTTCAATCGATGAAAGAGTTGGCTGGAAAACCTGCTGAACAAATCTTTGTAAACAGTGTAAACTGCCAAGTGATTCAATTGTTGAATTCTTCACCGTCCTTTGTGGCGTTTCTACTGAAGAGCTAAAACAAACACCTGCTCGCTCATTGTATGTGAGACCAATGTATGTTTGAATTCACACTTTTGTGTGACTTTATTTATGTGAGACTGAAAATATGGTGGATTTGTGAACAATTTTTGTGTCAACCTATGGTTATATGCATTTGTGAAATTTTTTATGCATTTGATAAGCTCACTTTATTGCAATATATTTGTGTACTTGATTATGTGCCCTATTATGTAATGTTATGTGTGAATTTATTTGCTTAATATTACTCCAAATATACAACAGACAAATAAAACTATGCATTTTTTTGCTAGGGGTAAAACGGTCATTTTACCCTTGACTTAACACCGTCAAGTGGCAAAAACGGACGGACGATTATAGAAGGAAGGAAATTTCGTTTCGAGGCCATATAGATAAGTTCAAGAAAAAATGGCCATACAAGGAAGATACATTTTTTCCAGGGTCTTACAGGTAAAAAGCTCAATTATAAGACGTTTGACTTTTTGACATCAAATTTGACCACTTGTCTTATTAAAAAATTTATGCAAAATATCATTTCTTTTGTCGTGGCTTGCTTTATTAATAAAAGTTCTTTAAAAATGATTTAAATTTGACTATGTTTGCACAAAATTTTTTAATAAGATGAATAGTCAAATTTGGGGTAAAAAAGTCAAACATGTTATAATTTGGGATGGAGGGAATACTCATTTAGAAGCCATCAAAATACAATTATATTCCCCACGGTTGTAGTACCGACGTTGCATCGTAGATAATACAACTAGAGTAGAATTTGATGAGTAGCTCATATAGATGATAGCCATTGATTGTTGCTAAAAAAAACTAAAGGAAGATGATAGCCATTTTTTTTTGTTGATATGGTCAAATTCGTGGAGGGACGTACGGGTACATCAACAAAGGCAAATAAGTACAATAACCTACAGCTTCCCACTGGCAATGACCGTAGCAGGATGATGAACCGTCCACATGATGGAGGTAGACACGGATACTCAAATATATCAACAAGCGCTCACACATCATCTATCAGTGACATCAGCAATGATGTCTCAAAGGTGGTAGCAGTAAGCACAAATTTATATCAAGCGCCATCGTGACGCGGAGTATCGACATCATGGATGGTGCTACCCTAGAGAAGTGGCGACCTAGAAGATGGCTTGGTCTGAGTATCCTCATTCTTAGGGATGTGACAAGCGAGCAGAGGGATCGGTAGACAAATACAGTTCACGCACCTAATGTACTTACCACTTAATTTACAACCACAAGATAAAGTTGGGTTTACTTTTCCTCAGGAGTCTTTGATAAGAGGCACTAACATTCTCTCAGTTTGGATGTATATAATTGGCTTGAGGAATTGAATTTGGTGGCAATATCAATTCAGCCTTCGAATAGAAATAGGTCCAATAACAAATATATTGTTTGGTTGTAGATATAATTGGTAGTTGGAATCAAGTGAGGTTCTAATGCTACTTCCGGTTTGGATGTCCGTGCATTGAATTGCCTGATCTCTTCCATTGGTTGGGCGCTCCTCCACCATCTGAGCTCTCCTCTCCCCGTGTTCTCTTCTTCAGCGAGCTCAACACCACTCGAGCTCACATCCTCTAGGATCCCCTCCGCGCGCGCTCTCTCTCTCTCTCTCTCTCTCTCTCTCTCTCTCTCTCTCTCTCTCTCTCTCTCTCTATATATATATATATATATATATATATATA